TATATGCTCTAGGAGGTAAGAGAGGCTAAGAAGTTTAAAACCAGACAAAACCAAACCTAAAACTTATGTATAGGAGCTTTATATCTCTTGCATGTGAACCAGAGTTAAAAATCCATAGGGATGAGAATTGCTTATGCTCAAAATATTGGGGGGGGGAAGTAAATCGTTTATAGTGTTCTTAGTTGCGTTCTTCAGAAGCTGTATCTGAAAGATTAGTTTGTTGTCTTTGCTCATGTTCATTTCTTCATGTCTTTGATCACAGTAGTATTTCAGGTCTTGCTTCTAAAGGAAAGTTACAGAAGCTAGTAAGTTTTCCCTTTACAGCTCCTGCAGTGCCTTTAAGGGTGACCTTTGAACTTAAAAAGAATTGTATGGAAGAATTTCTGCAGTTATATACACAATTTTGAAAAATTTTCAATGTGGTTTTGTCCCAGAGATGCAGCTAGTGACAGACATCTAAGTACAAAAATGTAAATCCTCTTTCTATAGAAATAACTTTGCTTATTAATTTATTGTATGAAAATATAGTGCTTTTTTGGAATGGGTGGGATGATCTCGCTACATGTTGTTTCAGTGTTATTTCAGTGCGTTATTGTAGGGGGACAAATAAGAGGAAGAATGCTATTTTAATTGTTTTTGAATATTAGTGCATTTTATAAGTGTGGCAATTTAGAACTGAGTATTTTTCTTTAAATCCTTTTATAGCAATATAGGCAACCAATTTCCAGGCCAAGGTGTTCCTGCTGGATTTTCTATGTATCCTGCATTCAGTCCTTTACAGATGATCTGGTGGCAACAAATGTATGCACGTCAGTACTACATGCAATAGTAAGTCTGCATTATCTTAGGTAGTACTGAGTTACACTAATGAAAGGAAGGTATTAAAAATTTAAATGTTGTTTGCAGGATCAAAATGTCTGTGTTTATTTTGCCTGGCTATTCTGTTTTACACTAAGTTTTGTCCAGCAAATTATAAAATCCAGTTTTGGATTGGAATTAAATTAATGTATTAATAAGTAAAGATTTAAAGGAAAATGCAGTTTGTTTGGATATGTATTACATCTGAAACTTTATTTATATTAATGTACAGAAGAAGACAAGAATAGGCTTAGAAATTTTGGTGTGTGTTTTTTGACGAACTAGTTTTATGTTTAAATTTTTAGCCAAGCTGCTGTTTCAGCCCAAGTGACTTCCAGCACTGAGCCAGTGAGATCTGCAGTTGCCCAGGCTGTAAATTCAGAACATGCTCCTGCAAATGAGCCCGCAGCAGTGCCAAATGTAGCCGTCCAGGAGAACAGGCCTGTAAACCCGAATGTTCAGATGAATGCACAGGGTGGCCCGGTAGTGAATGAGGAGGACTTCAACCGGGACTGGCTGGACTGGATGTACACGTTCTCTAGAGCAGCAATTCTTCTGAGCATTGTATACTTCTATTCCTCCTTCAGTCGATTTGTCATGGTAATGGGAGCCATGCTGCTGGTTTATTTGTGAGTACAACAGTTGAGTATAGCTGCAGATCTGATATGTGGAGTATGGTGCTAGTGTATAATCCATTTAAACTGTGAAAAATTATCCAAATACAGACGTTTGGGCACTGCTCCTTTATGGTATGGTGTGTGTGGGGAAGGAAAAAAAAAAATTGTATTTCAAATAGGCAGAGAAACTGATATAAAAAAAAGAAATAATTCTCAAAATATTTTTACAGTAAGTTGGATACCACTTACACCTGAAACACAGTGCTTTTAAATGTTGGTGATATTAACAGATCAGTATTGTAGAAATGTAGAATTTTGGGATGGAAATTTAGAAAGTGGGGGTGAGGGGAAGGAAGCTCATATAGGTCAAGCGTATGCTTGCATAAACTTAAAGCATTTACTGCTTGGATATGAAAGAAAGATTGCAGAGCTAAGCTCATTTATATTTCAAAAATAACATATGGGATTTGTGCAGTAAATTGTATTAGGCAGAGTTAAGGTAGTGTTATTGTAATGGTGGGTGCTAGATCTACTAGAATTGCAGGGACTTTAAAATATTTTTACAATGCATCATAAAGACTTAAGCTGTCTATTTTATTAAGAAATATCAGTACTGTTGTCATCACTTCCCTTTATATGTGAAAATACCTTAGTAAATAGAAATGGAAAACAGCAGTAATGCTTGATATTTTGGACTGATCTCATTCATTGAGAGTTTCCTTACACTGTAGTCTCCGTCCTCTCAAGGACTGTTCTGTTTCTCATGCAGATATGACAGCTGAAATCAGAATATAGACACCTGAAAACATAGGAGAGGCTTATTTCATTTACAATGGTAGTGTAGTTTAAGCTTTAGCTGAAGTTCAAGTTATTTTTTCCACAGAAAATCAACTTTAAATTACGAAAATTAAGGCTGCCTTTGAAAATTAATATAACTTAAGTACTTAAAAATGGGGAGGAGACCCAAAAAAAGTATTCTACATATTTAATCACCTAATTGTGGTAAATTATTCATCTTCTGGAACAGAGGGCTGTGAACAGCACTTCTGAAACTTAAAGAACAGCTCTTAGCAAGACTCTTCTTAACCCAGACATCAAAGAATAGCCATTCAATCTAGAAGTAAGACTTGCAGAAAAATACGTGTAGCTTCATTCATTTGAAAGTACTTGAAGAATTTACTGCATTAGTTAGCTGTAGCAGAAAAATCTCTTTATTCCTTTCAGAAGAGAGGTTTTCAACTGTTCCATTTTCTTACATAGACACCAAGCTGGATGGTTCCCCTTTAGGCAAGAGGGAGGCCAACAACAGGCAGCCAATAACGTGGAAGTGAACCGTGATGGGCAAGATGCAAATCCTGATCTTGAAGAGATGGTGAGTAAGAGCAGACATGTCTTTTGAGACTCCTATGTGCTATATTGTCAAGTATGCTATAATGTCTGGACGGAAAGTCAAATTTTATGAAATGTAGTCGGTTTAACCAGAAAGCTTTCAGCATTGTCCTCAGTGTTGAGCCTGCTGCTTAAATTCTGTATTTTTCCAGTCTGACAATTACTCTACTTCAATCACAGACTTTCTTCATGCTAGTTATTTTTCAGGAGGTTGTTCTGAGAGAAGTTACTTAATGTAGGAAGATACTGCTGGTTACCTTATGTCAGAGCTCTGAAAAGAAGCAGTTGAATTGCTTCAATTTGTGTTTTTAAAGGAACGACTTATGGATGATGGGATTGATGAAGACAGCGGAGAAGATGCAGGTGAAGATGCTAATACAGAGCAGCAGCCTGGATTCATGGCTTCTGCTTGGTCCTTTATCACAACCTTCTTCACATCACTTATCCCTGAAGGGCCTCCACAGGTTGGCAATTAAAGTGGAAAAGGAACTGTGTCAGGCAGCCTCAGCAGCCATACGTAGAAGTGGAGCAGATTCTAGAGAGTGTTTTAAATACAGTGCAATTTCTGAAAATTTATAATGTTATCTTTTTGATCATGGTGTACAAAAATGTGTATTTTTTTCTTTTGGCTTTCTCATGCATTGAATATTTTAAGCACAAGTGGACTACTAAATGCTTTCCTTAAGATTCTTCTTTTTCTGAAGAATAAAATGTAAAGATATTCGTCTTCCATGTTTTATTTTGATTTCAAATGTGTATTATACTGAAGCAAAAAGCTTGTACTTAATCTGCACCATTACCTCTTTAAAGAGCTGTTAAAAATATGAGTGTTGACAGACCTTTCCAAATGCTGTCTATTCATTTGAATAACTTTAATGTATCTTGTGTTATTTTTATGCAGGGTATGAATTACCACTTGGGATTTGGAGTTTATATCATTCCTGAGAGAATGCTGTAAACACAAGGATTACTTGTTAATGGCATGTTGTCTTCATGCCACAAAATACTAAGCCTCTTCTCATACATTTAGAAAGCTAAAAGCTTTTTCTTGAGGCTATACTGAAGTTCATTAAAGTTGGAGATGTTTGACAGCTCTTCAAAGACAATTGACAGTGATGGGATAAACCTTAAATGTTTGATACATACAGTACTTTTTAAGAAAAATACAGCTGTACTGGGGAAAAACATGTACATTAGGTTTTTTTAATAAAAACTGTTATGGTAACTCTTTTGGATGTTTATATGCATATTTGAATGCAAACAACTAAATAGTGCATCATTAAGGATGAGAATATGATAGACTTGAGAGTGGAATAAAGTTATCATGGTGGCATTACTGATACTGACTAAAGTGGTATGTTTGTAGCAGCGCATACACAGTTACAGGTATGATCTCAGCAGCAGAATATCTGTATTCTTAACCTAATTAAAACTGAGAAAAGGAAAATTGTACACGAGATAATAGCACAGTACTACTGTCAGTTTGTTTTCAGTTGCTTTCTTTATATTTTAATCATAGTCAAGAAGTTTAATTCGGTTTTGTTCCTAATTCTGAAGTTACCATGTGTTACCTAACTTAAAAATGGCTGCAAAGATTCTGTTACACTACAACCGAAAGAAAGCTTATCCAATTTTCTGATTTCCAGGTGGAGGGCAAAGCTCTTACGTAGGCCTGAACAAGTGAGAAATAAGGATTGATTTTTTGCTTGCTCATGTCAAACTGCTGAAGCTATGCAGTGAAGTTTTAAAGCTTAAAAAATTTTCTTTGGGTTTATACTCGGAAACATTTGTCAGGATTTGTAGGCCTTATTGAGAGTTGACTCTCAATTGGGAAAAATAAATTTGAATAAAGATTTTAATTTAAACAGCTTAAATAGAATGTTTGATTTACAAAATAATTCTCATTTACAAATCTGTCAAGAGGAGAAATAGAAATGTAAGTCTTAAAGCATCAATTATTTTATTTGCTGTATAGGCAGCAACGATGAATAAATCATGTGTAATTACGATGTTTTACTCCCATGCTACTATGGAGAGCTGCTCTCAATTTAGGTTCTTTACTACATAAACATAAAATACGTAGAATTGTCCAAGAAATTTTACCCTTTTAATTTGGTGGATGAATCTAACTTGACTAACGTTTAAGAACTATTACAAAAACTTAACATTTTTAAAGGAATGGCACAGAGTGGCAGTCTTGGATGTCATAAGACTTATTTCTGGAGTGCATTGAAGAGGCTTCATCTGTTTGACCTGTGTGTTCTCCCTCCTACTTTTCCCAAAAGTTCGTTTTTCTTTATGTCCTGGGGTTAGTGTATCCGTAACGTGCGCAGTTATGACCTACTGGTATCCAGCTACTAACAGCTGTTAGTTGCTTCTTGCTGTCATTGTCATTGTTTAGGTTTCCTTTGTTTTCCATGCTATAGGAAGCAATTGGTGGTAGCTCTCTGCTGTTAGCAGACTAGATTAAGAAAGTTGCTCTTATGCTTTTAGTCCTGATTTGGTTAAAAAGTGTAGAATTATCGCTGCTTGTTTGTATTCAGGCAAGGAGAGATTCGTTTATAGGTTACACAAGGTTGAGACAGTGAAATAGGAGATCCTGGCAGTTACTTAGATACTGAGGGAGATGTTCTGAGAGTTTTAATGGGATTGTAGAGCTGGAGCAATGACTTGAAGAAGCCAGACTTCCATGAGAACATTTTAAGGTCATTGAACCTCCCAGCTTCCAGAACCTTCCCAAGATGCCAGCAAGGAAAAGCATAAAGATGGTTACTGAGGAAAATGAGTGAGAAATAAGAATGAGGTATGAAGCATTACTAAAAAGTAGTGAAAGAGTTGGAGGCGGAGGAAAGCCAATGGGAGGAGCAGAGATAAGAGAAGGTGTGGTCATGAATAAATATGAAGCAAGCATCAAAGAGCAGATTGAGGTAAAAGAGGTGCATTCTTTTTTCTTCTCAGAAAAGGAAAGAGCTTGATGAAAAATAGTCAGATAGGTCTTTCTTTTGTGAGTTTCTGAGCAATTCAGGTATAGAATTGAACAGCATGAAATATGTAACAGGTGATGATGGAATAGAAATGAAAACCCTAGGAAAACAGTTGCTTTTTCTTAGTGTATCCTTGTTGTAGGAACTGTTCTGTAGCATAAAATAAAACGCAATTATGTAGTACATGGCTGTAGGCAAAGCTAAGATGCTGAATTGTAGCAAATCTGTAACATGAGATGGAACAAAAGGCATGATTAAGGCAGCATAGGATGTGCCCCAGTATTAATGGTTCTGTAACATACCTATGCATCACCCACTTTTACAACTTTGAATACAGAAAAAGTGATTGACATTCATTCTTTCCTTTACCTTACAGGAAGACAAGAAATGACAGGTACCCTACATATCAAGGAAGTCTCTGTATCTAATAGCAAGTCTATGCCAGCATGTGCAACAGCTTCACAGTGCGTTAAGGCAGAGACAGTCACACCAGAAACAGACAGAAGATAGAAGTGTATTCCATCCATAACACTACTTGCTGTGAAGAGACAGATGAGATCAGCAGAACTGATGGAGCAGGTGTATGAAAAGAGTAACACAGCTGCTCTTTTGCATGATTTCTCAATATTATGCTTATTCTAAAAAAAATATTTTGCAACTGATGTATGTCCCTACATACATCTGCATTGACCTCTTGACCACAATTTACATTGTATTTAGCAATGGGACTGTTGGTTTAACAAACAAGTGTAACATAAACTCAAACTGGAGAATTCTTGGATGCAAAATAGTGGTCAAAGGGATCCTTTTTCTCCTGTTAACTTGTGAGCTTGCAAGCTTTTCCTCATGCTGTTGTTTGGTTTGGAGACCCTCACAGGCAGCTTTGGCTTTCCAGTTGCTCCAGTTACCTTAAATTCAGGTAACTCAGAGAGAAATTATCACATGGTACTTCAGGAAAAGTCTGCTTTTGTCTCAGACATACTCTGCTACCTTCTTACTATTGCTGTGGCAGAAGGAAAAAAAAAAAGCCATTGTGTGTGAGGTTTGTAATGGTAACAGGGGATGCAAAATCACTTAACTTCCATCATATGGTGTGAATAATTATGTTTCTGCTGCTTGTTTCCTGTACAACCTTAAATGTTTTCTAGCGTAAGCCTTTTTTAGCAGCTTTTGCTATTGCAAGGAAGCAGTTCAGAATTTACCCCAGCATAGTGATTATGAACTCTGACCTTTTTTTTTCTGGATATGTTCAGGTGGGCAATCAGAGATAAACTGCAGCCCAGCTGGATGCACCCTTCTTAGTTCAGTTGCAGGCCTGCATTTACTCTGGCAAGCTACCTGCCAAAGTATCCAGGGTGATACTGTCTTACTTGTGCTGGGAAAGCTTTGATGCTACAGGTGTTCAAGTTAACCAAATTAATGTGGTGTGGCTTTACATGTGGGTGATACATTCTTCTTTCAGATTACACTTGTTATAGGCAGGATGATGCAAACTGGGAATGAATTCCTGTATCACTCACAGCCCTTGTTTGCCTCAAAGCTGCTGCTTGTCTGAGTAACAAGATAACACAAGGTAATAAATGTGTTTCATCATGATTCCCACCCCAAAAAAGGGGGTTGAGCCATTCTTCCTGGCAGTGGCTCTACATGAGTGCTAGGTCTAGTGTCTGTTCAGATACTGCCACATAGGAGGTGCTTTTTTGCTCTCAGCTGGATTTATTCACTTGCAGCTGTCTATTCGAGGTCTTGCTTTGAAAGAAGCTGGGGTGACTAATGTGAATGCTTAGCATTTTAGACTTACAAGACAATCTACCCGGTAGCACTGGTTGGAGAGGAGGGAAGCACATACTGGACCTGAAAGAACTATCCATAAAAAGACTAGGGCTGGCTAACTTACTCTCTTCTCTTAGAATTTGCAGAAGCAAATATGTGTAGGGTGGGAGAATGCCCAAGCTACACAAAAGATATTTCCACTTCTTTACCAAAACATTAATTTGTGCTTGGTTTAGGGCTTTATACTTTGTTTAAACAACATGAGGAAATGTTGCTGTATAAAAATAAATACTCATCTTTCCCCCCCTCCCCCCCAGCTGTGATACTGATGTGATTTCACTGCTTGAATTGTCAGGGCCTGGGATGGTGAAGCTGAAGACGTGTGGTCATTCTGTTGATCTCTGTGTTTAAACTTTCATTTAAAGCTTTGCTCTGTGGGTCTTACAACAGCATAGTTGTTATGTGGCACTTCTGTAATAAAGCTGGTCCTAAAATTTTTCAAGGCTGTGGGAGGAGTAGAAGGGAAAGGATTATATTCCTAGAATTTAATTCAGACTTGTCATGAAACGCCAGGCGATGTTAACTGGTTTTCCTCATCCTCACGTAGTTTTAGCTGTCCTAGAATAAACTGCAAAATTACTGGTCATTTTTGGAGTAGGGAGCTTATGCCGGGGAAGGTGCAATTGTAGTTTAAATCTCATGGTGGTGATGGGTGTGTTTGTGTAAGTAGGACAAAACTTACAGGAAGGCTGTTGACATTTTTTCCTAGCTTTGCAGAAATCCGGGGAGGGAGAATCTAGATGGGACAGAAGTAAATGGAGTTGTGGGTATGTTAATTTTTAAAAATCTGCAAGTTTTTTGTGTGTGCACATGTTTTCTTTACATGTTCAGAAAGATTGTGCTGACCTTAACTGCTGGTTGGAAAGGAAGGCTAAACCCGGTCTTTGTGTTAAAGTTAGCGTGTTTGGGTGGCTTTCTCGAAGTGTTTTGGTTGGTAACCTGTGCAAGGTTGAACTGTGGTGATGAAGTAACCGCAGCACACTGCTGTAAAAGTAAGTGAGCAATTTGTCTAGTCAGCGAGCGCTTGATGCTCTAATTTGTTAACCAAAGACAATTAAGGAAGTGCGTAACAGAGTAAATGAGAAAACACGTCATGTGTGACGGGGTAACTCGGGC